CGAGGCGGCCAAATAATTATTTCCAGTTACATAATTATGGTCTCGACGAACATAAACCGCATCCCTAGCCACTCCCCGGAACAAACGCTCGCCTCGGACGCAACCGACTTCCATACATATCAACGAGATGAATGTTTTGCGCACGGAATTTTTCAGCCAACTTCACCCACGGAGAATCCGCCAATAGAGGGCTGTAGCACACCAAAAAGATCAGCTCAAAGCACACCTTTTTCATGCATAGGCTCACCCGGAACGCAGCCAAACGAAAAGGAGTTGTTGAATTTCTCGCAGGGCGGGAAATGCTGTGCAGTCTAATTTGGCAAGAAAGACTTCGACGAGTTCGGCGACCAGTTCAGAATGCTTTGCGTCGAGGCTTCGGAAAGAAGTCAGGGAAGTGTAAGTATTTTCAGAACTGAACGCACTCTTTCGGATAAATTACGATGCACTCCAGGAAACGGTGTTTATCGCATTGCGTGAGAACCCCTTCGACGACACTCTATACAAAATAATTGACTTCCGCGTGCGTGCAAGAGGACTGTCGGCGTACCACATCGTCCTTCGAGGCAGTGCGCATGGTTAGACATTTCACATTCGGACAGAGGTTGAAGATGTCGACAGTGAAGGCCGGGCCCCCACAACCAAGTCCGAGATCTTCTCGCCGTGCCTTTCGAAGAACACACGAGCATCGACTTGCGACGGCGCATCAAAAAGCTATCGGCAGGACGATGGTGGGCGCCGTCGTGGGCGCTCTCGGCGGAATCGCCCTTTTTGCCGTCGCGGTGGGCTGTATACTCCTGCGCCGTCGCCGGTGCGCCAAACTCAATAATACCGAGGAGGGGATTTCCCCTGAAATCCTTGAACCATTTCAGTTGCCACGGGATGGGTCCACACCACCAACAAAATTGAAGGCTGACCTTTTGGTGTCTTCACCCGGGTCGACGACGACGGCTCAGACACCATCGCCTGCGTCTGTGTCTCCATCCGAAGGCTCTGGAACAACGGGCCATCCAGCGCTGGAAGAGCGGTTACGCAGTTTGGAGCAATTCGCTGCTACATTTCCGCCTGCGTACAGTTGATATTGTGTTTCTTGTGTTTCTTCTTTTGGGGATAACTATTATCTTGGGTTCAACGAGATGTGCCAGTAAAGCTGCACTGTCTTCAAACCGGCTTCGCCGCAAACGGAGGGACGGATATCATGGAAAGTTAGAGAGATGTATACGTAGAAGAGAATAATCCGGCAAAGTACCGATGCACATCACCACGACCTTCGTCCGACTGAAGTTCGTCTTTCGTCGTGGTGACTCTGGTCAAGATCAAGCGATCGCGCGTGGGAATATCAGATCACACTTGCCTTTTGCCACCATCTGCCAGACTGCCACTGTCCAACTGGGGCGTAGCACGATTGGTTTCCTTTCTATTCGTTCCCAAGATCCGGGACGGAAACTTGCCTCTGGTTGACTTTATCGCGACTTCGGACTGCCTTCTCTATCGTTGCCGTTGGGTCTGAATCTCGAGCTCTGCGTACCACTTACATCCAAGATTTGACGATCCCCAAGGACCATCTGCAAGTTGCCACGCTATCAGGCCCGCAGTCATCTGCCCATCCAGGGCGAAGGGATCTTTTGTGATTGTCTCCTCCGGATATGTGCAGCCCACCTCCCTTGTGATTTCATCTCAGTTGTTATACAGGCTCCGCGGTGTACATCTACGGCATCGACATCCACAGTCCGGCCAACATCAGTTTCCAGCTCAGCGATTCATTCATCAGCAGCTTCCATTTTTACTCTGGGTCTGACTACGTCTACAATGCCTTGTTTTACGAACCTCGATGCGAGCATGTCACATTCCGTGACCTGGTCGATGGAGGGGAACAGTATAGGAGAGGGGTCGAGCGCGTTGTTCGACTATGCGCAGGAGTTACGGTGGACCGGGATGCCAGTGCGACATCCTCATCGTGCGTCTCGCATTCAGCGCTGTGAGTCGACTCATGCCCATCGTCCACAGGACCAACATTCCATCCGCCCCAGTTCCTTCTCAGTCTGAGCCGCCTTCTCGGAGCGCGAGTCCAACGCTACACCTACAAAAGATAAGACCAGGACGATCGCCGGTGCCGTGGTCGGCGCCATTGGCGGAATCGCACTGTTTGCTACAGTGGGCTTGGTCCTCCTGCGCCGACGAAAAATGGCATCGGACACCGAGGGAGGAACGCTAACTCGGAGTGTGCATGGAATGGTGCACCCGTTTCAGCTGCCACCAATGTCGGATGCGACCACTCCGGGACGGCCACCATCACCATCGAAACTGAGCTGGATCGACGGCCCCCGGGGTGGAGGAGAGGCTGCGACATTTAGAGGAATTCGCTGCTACATTTCCGCCCGCGTACAGTTGATACTGTTCTTTTTCTTTCTAAGAATTTGAGGTTGGGATTGGGTTGGACAATGTACTTACATGTAAGTCGTCCCGCTTCGGCCAACTATCGTCCGATCAATCATCAATGCGTGCCTGGCATCACGATCAATGAATCACCGCCCATTTTGCTTCCTCCCAACCACCAGGGCCACCACTCCCTTCGTCTATGGTTACCCAGTGATGAAGCTCTCTATGTACGCTGGAACTTCCGCCCTTGCCCACCGGATCACACCTCGAAACTCAGTAGTACTTACTTACAGCTGCGCTGAAGCCGCATGCATGTCCGGTCCCTCTTTGCCTGCGCTAATGGGACCATCCTCGCGAGGAACGTGCGGTTGCTTTATTCAACTTCTATTCATAACAGACGTCCCACGCAACGCCACCGATGATTTCTTTGCCGAAATCCTAGTCAATACTCTAAACTTTCTGCCTCATTAGCGGCCCCTCCCCTGCTCCACGCAGCCACAGTAATCCGGGCGTGATCGTCGGCTCTGTCGTGGGGCTATCACTAAACAGGTTGTGCAAAAGCCATACGGCTTTTTCGTGCATTGTGCAAAGCCGTACGGCTATTTTTCCCCTGTATTTTCCGGGCTGTAAATGGACCCCAGGACTGTTGCTGATGCCGACTCGTACCTATGATGCTCACCTTGCCCAGATACTGTACTATTCAAATCACTTCGAAAATGCACGTGACTTTTTAATTTTCCGACAATTCTCCAAAAATCCGATAAATTGAGAAAAAATCATTGGCGGGGTTTCCAGAAATCGGGTGTGACGCGTGACATTCGAAGTGATTTGAATAGTACAGTAGTTCCGAAACGCGGCTTGAAAAGGAGCCGAATTGACGACATTCTGTCAAAATTCACCTTGGAGCCGTGTGGAGTTGGCTTGACCTAAATTGAGCATGCCAATGACGTACCGAGATCCGGCAATAAACCGAAGAAAAACTGCCATTTTGCCCGCACGGCTTTGCACAATGCCAAAAAGCCGTGCGCGGCTCCATACGGCTTTGCACAACCCGTCTACTGTATTGGCGCTCTTGATCTCGCTGGTGTTCATTTTATTCCGGGGCCGCAAGCACCGTTCTGGAGCAATATTATACCTCGAGACCCAGGACGAGCCGCAGTCGCTCATGCATCTGCCAACCATCCAACCGTTTCGGTTGCTCTCGCGCAGAGCCTGAGGGAAGCGTGCTCGCCCTAAGGCTGAAACCATATCGTTTCCGTTTGCAGATCTGGGCAAATCAAACGGAAACGGTACGTAAACGTTTGTAAACTGTTTAAAACTGTTTTCAAATGGTATCTGGAGTGGCATGTAAAACCAGCCCACAACAAGGACCTACCTATGGGTGTTGAGTCCTCAGGTTAGTGTATGGTCACCATCTGGTTGTTGTTCAAGCCTGGGGGACTGTTCAGGGCTCTTGGATTACATGCCAGACCCTTGCCGGATGTCACCTGGCATTCAGCCGTGTCAATCAGCGGGATCAGAAATGATCAGACACCTTGCCGAGGGTGGCCGGTTGACGGGGTACCCATTTGACATCCGAGGAACCGGGAATCACTGACAGCGGAGTCGCCAGTCCACGTCAAAAATGCCGCCTGGTAGAAGCTGGTAGGTAACCATTTAAAACCGTTTGTTTAACATCTGTTTACCGTTTGCACTGACCCACAAATTAAATGGAAATGAAAACGGTTGAAACCGTTTGCAAATGTTTGCAAACGGAAATGATTGCAGCCCTAGCTCGCCCCAGGCCGCAGTCCGAGTCCGAGTCCACCGACCCCGCAAGCGGCAATGGAGCAGTATACAGATCAACCAGGCTTTCCAACAACTGTCACGGTTGACGTGGAAGCACGACTGCGGAACCTGGAAAGATTGGTCGTTGGAACTGTGCCACCGGCCTATGAGACCCAGTATCAGGCTCGTATACATAATGTGGTCTGGATCATTGTACCGTATTTCAACTCCATGACGCGGTGGACAAGCTCAGTGAGTTCTGACATAGAATCGTTGTGGCGGCTCTGTGAATCAGAGGATCGCAGACAGGCTGAGACTCTTATTTGGGGCTTGTCATTCGGCCAGGACGATTAATCAGGTGTTTTGACTCGGATTCATGATTCGCCCGCACTAAAATCTGAAATCGTGCGTGCTCCAAGAGAGTTTGATGCAATCCCGCATTGAAACTCAGACAAGTGGGTTTGTGACTGACAGGTCATCGGATTTCGGAAAGTGCTGAAAGTAGATGTAAGGATCACCTTCGGCACTCCGGCGATCACCATTTCCACAGCACTTCCGTGCTGCGCACCAACTGCGCCCGCAATTCAACACTGCGGCGCAGCGGTAAGTAGGGTGGTGCACTGCCCACCCGTGAACAGTATATTTCGTAGTCAGTAGGTAAAATTAACAACGTAGATTTTATCGACTCTCAACACTTACGACAAAATCTTCAAGCTCAGATTCTCTGCGTCTACGACTTCTTATTCACGAACCCCGTAGCCCCACAGTAGAGGGGCAAAAAAGGGAGTTACAATCCCACAGAGCTTGCCCGATGTCTGGCGGAACTGATGATGACATGGTGAACATATGTCACAGCCGGCCGCCTGGCGAAATGGCCATCGCGTCTGACTACGACCATTTGTTTGTTATCAGGAGATTGCAGGTTCGACCCCTGCGGTGGTCACGTGCTCCTTTTTGCGGTATTTCGATTACTCCTGCTTCCATCCTGCGGCATCTAAGTCGCCATCCCACCTATTGCCTCTGTCTTGCACCACCAACGCGAAACATGTCGGGATGGGATTGAGGCGGGCTTTGAAACACACTGCTAGACCTTCAAATTTCAAACCGGGCCAAGCCTACGCCTTCTCACCGCTTGGAAGTGTGACCGATCGGGGAAAAAAAGGAGCCCGACCCTATCCAGAGCTCTTGCTCGGATACGTACCAACCGTCCACAAAGTGAACAGCCCTTTTAAAGCAAAACGGGTCAAATGGGCCGCCCGTGTGCATGACCACAGGACCTATTTACGGGCTCCGCACACAGAAATCCCGGTAGCTCAGGATTATCAGGATTCAGAGAAGGCGATGGTCGGAGCGGGAAGATCGGCGGATTGCCAGAGAAGTCATTAGTATGTTGCGGCGTGAATGGATCACACCAACAGTCTCGTAACCTCAGAATCCGTGGAGTTTGGGGTAAGTACCTTGATATAAGTACCTATCATTTATGTACATGTGTATACACTTCGTCTGGGACGCGGTCGTGCTTCCCACGGTTGATTTTCACATCTTCTTTTGTGTCACAGAATGCTCGATGATACAAGCAGGTTCGGCACGCCGGACACGCCCCCATGGTCATTGACAGTTAAAGATGACGACAAACTCAGCCCCGTAATCGGATCTCCGACATGCCACGGCGTCTGCTGGGACCCGGGTATTCACTGATGAGGGACAAAATGAAGCAACTATTTGCGAACAGAGACATCACTCTGAGAAACATAAATGTGGCATCCATGGCACCGAAAGCGATACGGGAACGCCACAGACATGATATCGTGCCGCGTTGCTCTAACGCGTAGCCTGCAATATCCTTCTTGCCGGCCAAAACACCCCGCTCGGCCTCCTGACAGTGGCAGTGGTACGACACTGTAAACTGAAACATCATGCATCGTGTTTCGAATTCGTGCAGGCTGAAGAAATACATCAACGACTTGAAATCAAGTCCGTTTGAGTACAACCCGATTTTTTCAGTAGAGCCCCCTCTCATAGCCGCACACACACGATCCTTCAGGATGCCGGCAGTTACACCCTCCACTTCTAGAATGCCATGCTCAGCCAGCCTCAAATGATGGAACATGTGTTGTACTCACTGGAAATACATGTTTGTCTCCATTCGAAGTGTGTACGAGTGATTGGGATGCTGAGCGTCCAGATACATCGAGTCGGAGGTGGGGATGGGTGTAGGGTGGTTGTGCTGTTGCTGTTGGGGCTGGAAGTGCTGAGGCTGGCTGTACGGCGTAGTCCACGGCTGCTGCGGATACGCACACGCATAACCATATTCATTCCCGTAGCCAAAGGCTTGTCCGGTGTCCGTGGCAGAAAACTGCTGCTGTTGTGGTATGGTTGGTCGACGGGATGAGCCTGCTCAAATCCACCGTCGGCACCAGTGTAAAGCATGTTGTGGAAGCCAGGGTCGAAGTAAGAGTCGCCGGCATGCGAAGACCCCCCGCCTTGGCCTCGGCTTCGGCCTCTTGTTGAAGAACTGGACGACGTCGGAGGAATGTGCGGCCGTGTCGGAGTCGCAATGCGATCAAATTCGCGGACTCGCGCGTTATTTGAGTCGGGCGGTGAGAGTGGGACTCGACTCTGAGGCAATCCTCTGAGATTCCTCCGCAACGGAGATATATTCGCAGGGCAGGTTCCGTCTCTGGCATCGTTCGCAGGGATTGTCGTAGCCGTTAATTGCGTTGCACTGTACGAGGCGGTAAACCACTGGATTTTGTAGGTAGAGGGGTTGGCATACCGGATTCTGCGTTTCCGACACCCAAGACAAGCCATGAGTGCCCTCTTTCTTGCTAATACGAAAGGTTTATCGTACTCTTCTGGGGGAGGTTGGAGGCTGGGGACATGGCCAGCTGGTAGGTAGACGAAAGACGACCATGGACTAATTTTATATCTGCACGTAGGACAGTCAACCGCGGGAGACCCAACATCACTGCGGTCAGTCCTTTAGAGCGGCGCTATTGCAGCAGGCATCGGTGGAACACGGCTGTATCCGGGCATAATTAGAAGCTGTGGAGATGCGTGTACACCACGTGGCCGACGCAGGGCGCGAGTGGCGTAGAAATTATTGCTGTGGCATCAGAACTGGAGAAGAGTGCTGTGAATATTTGATTCTATTTTCGACGCTGATGCTACCTGTAACTGATGATGTAATCAAGGCACATTTCCATCTATTCTGACGGCAGCCAATTAGATGTTGCCCACCCTTCTGAGGGTCAAGCGGGAATCAACAGAGTTCAGAAAGCGTTGACAATTCACCCCCAGAATGTCATGTAGCCATGGGGCCCCGACGGCATCAACGAGGAAGCCATCGGCAATCAGTCCGGCAAACTGCATCAAACTTTCTATTCAACTAATACCAAGGGGCCTAAGTGCCGTTGCTACCCCCTGGTTGTGCCGTTGGTGTCAAGAAAACGAAGGATGTGTTCACTATTTCATTCACTTTTTAGGTTGTGTTGTTTTTTGTTGAGCCGTGTCAAGTCATTCACTTTTGTTGGTAAATTGCCCTGAGTTGTGTCATTTCTTCTCAAAAAACCACAGGGTGTGTTGAAAAACAGTTTTGCTACACTATACCTGCCATATCTGTGGTATGTTGAAGTGACTTCAAAATGTTCCTCAAGGCCGACGGCTCTTTCTTTGCTGCACACAGGTTATCCGGTATACTTGCGCTGGTCTGGGTTGGAATGGACCATGGTATACTTCGGATCCTCATTCCCACGGTTCATTTTTGCATTTTTCGAGTTGCTCACAAACCTCAGCAGATCAAAACTCTCTCAGAAAAGTGGATGTGGTCGCTTACCGCAGATATTCAGACCTGTAATTGGATCGATACGACAGGCGGCCAGTAAGACTCGGGTACTGAAGTACTGACTGTTCATACGCTCTTGTAACCGGACCGGGATTGGGGACGAAAAATAAATCCCCGGATGCAATTTTGGATGATTTAGAGCAGTGAAAAACCCTGAAATACCCTGCTTCCTGTCCTGGAACAACCATTTAAACTGAAAAAACCCTGTTCGAATTCGAATTCGTTCAGGATGAATAAATACATCAACGGTGTCGCAGTAGATACTGTATCAAGTCTGTGCGAGTACAGCCCAATTTCTTTCAGTAATAGGGCCCCCTCTGAGTCTCATACCCGCAAACGCATGATCCTGCAGGACGGCGGCAGGTACACCCTCCACTCCTAGAACACCAGCGACCTCAAATGTTTGCAACTTGGGTTGTACTCACTGGGAATACATATTCGTCTCCATTCGCGGTGTGTACGAGTGGTTCGGATGCTGAGCGTTAAGGTACATCGAGTCGGGACTCGGCATTGGGTAGGTTTGGTGTTGTGGCTGGGGCCGGTATTGCTGCTGATGCTGGTCGTACGGTGTGGTCCACTCCGATGGCCGATTCGCAGACGCATAGGGATAATCGTTCTCGTATCCAAAGCTTTGGCCCTGTCCGTATGCAGAAAATTGCTGCTGAGCCTGTTGTGGCACGATTAACCCAGTGGGTTGAATTTGCTCAAAGCCAGCGTCAAAGTAGAATTCGCCACCCCCGCCTCCACCTCGGCCTCTTGTCGAAGTTGAAATTGACGGTGCCGGAGGGATGTACGGCAGCGTCGGAGTCGCAATGGGCTCGATTCTGCGGCCTCGCCCGGTGTTTGGGCTAGGTGTTGGAGTAGGGGCCCTCTCAAATTCCTTCGCAACAGAGATGTATTCGCAAGGCAAGTTCCGCCTCTGGCATCGTTCGCAAGGATTATGGTCGCCGTTAATCGCATTGCACTACGCGAAACCTCGTTTATCAGTGGATTTTCCATGGAAAGGGGTCTAGCGTACCCGGACTCTTCGTTTCCGACACGCTGAACAAGCCACAAGTGTCCTCTTTTTTGTCAACGTGAAAAGTCTCTGGGACTCTTTTGAAGGGTAGAAGCTCTGGGATGGTGAGGCTGGTAGATGGACGAAAGACTCGGACGAGGTGGTCTAATTTATATCTGTGCGTGTAGGACGGTCAGATCCAACATTCGATGGACAGCTATGAGACATCACGCGGCTTTGAATTGCCATCCACAGTCATGGCAATCTTTCGGCTTTGACCCGTACTCTGGCAGTGCAAGTTCTTTCCTTGAATATGCGTTCGTTGGTTCAGGTCCTACGACTATTGTACAATATATTCCCCCAGGTGATCCCGCGCAGTGAGTCTGAAGTCGTCAAGATCGGTCAGGAATGAACGAGACCTCTGCCCTGCCGCGTGGCCATCTCAATTTACTTGGGTGCCGCGTTCCAAAAATGAGCATCGGCTCGTCGGCTCGAGCGCTCCGTCTCGCCCCGTGCGCACTGATGACTCTGCTCAACTGTCGTCGCCAATCGCGAACTATCACTTGCTACCGCGTCCGATTGATATTGAAAACGCATCTATGCTCCATGGTTACACGGCTAGCTAGAGAGTGATAGCTTGGGCTCTTGATTTCGCGGAAACACTTGATAATACTTGGGTACGAGCAAGGTCTGATTACCGTGACGGAGAAACCTTGGACCTGGACATCAGAGGTGTCCCGGTGTGCGAAAACTGGAGGACACTAGGACTAAATTGTTCAACCAAGTAATTGGACCCGCAGTCGAATGACTCGAATCAACTCTTGCTTGAGCTTCTAGCTCACAGAAACGTTACGAACTTTCCGATTTGACGATTTTTTCTCGTTCTTACAGACCCCCTGGCAACGGGACAACTGTTGGGCTAATCAGAATCATTTCTGCCTACGTAGCGACCGACAAATACTACTTACGGCCCACAAATCCTGCTTGCAAGTCGTGGAAAGGCGTGGGACTCAGGAACCCTCAGGCCTCCCAAGGCGAACTCAATCAGCTTTAGTGGCAGGAGATTTTTAAAAAGACCGGATTCACATTATCTGCCGTGCAG